AGATATTTATGCAAGGTAGGATGTTAGGTTAGTGCAAAGATAATTGCGATTTTTACGTATCGAGTATAAAGACGCATATGTCAGTTAAAAATTATATTTATTAATCAAAATAAAGGCCACTGGTCAGCGTATATTTCTCCCAACGGCGGACAAGTTTGTTTATTCCCTACGAGATAGAATCCTGGGAAGGATGACGGTAGCTGGAAAAATCGGCGCCAAACTTAAAATGATAAAAATCGCAATTGTTTTTGCGCTAACCTAATAATAGAGGTGTATATTCCACCCGAGGTGGAATTTTTTGCGAGGATTTTTCTCGCGAGATTTATCCGCTTCGAATTGTTGCGATCTGAATAATCCGGATCTCGATAACCTGCTTAGTTCTTGAGATATTCGAGAATGCGTCGAATGAAACGGGACACCCTGCGTGCAAGTGTATTTTTATATGTATAATAAAAACAGTATGATAACGAAAGGATTTACCATTCAGTAAAGCTTAGTTTAGCAAAAAAATGAAAGCGTTTATTATTTAGTAAAGTTTACTTTAACAAAAGTTACGTGTTCACGTAATACGTAGTAGTAAAATAGTAAAATTTTAAAATAGTAAAATTTTACTAAAGTAAAGTTTACTCTATTAAAATTTCATATTCGCGTGGTAAAACAGTAAAATAAATAAATAATAAAATTTCAAAATAGTAAAACAAGACAGTAAAACAAGATGGTGAAATTTTACTAAAGTAAAGTTTACTTTGTTAAAAGTTTACTCGCGCATAGTGAAATAGTAAAATAGTAAAATTTTAAGATAACAAAATAGTAAAGAGCAGTGAAATTTTACTAAAGTAAAGTGTGTGTTCTAGTAAAATACTAGAGAGAAAGATTTTCAAATCTGGCGAAATATTTATGCGTGATAAAAAAGCACAGGTATATATATTTCACAACGCAACGATACAGTAAAGGTCGCGGGAGGCATGTGAGAAGAATTTCGCGCGAATTGCACGAGCCGAATCGAGCCGACTCGCAACGCTCGCTCGCGTGCGGCTGCGGCAACTCGATTAACGGTTAATTCCCGTGTACGAGCCCGAAATCGCCGTAGATCCCGGAGCGCGCGCGGATCGTTTACGGTGCGGCGACTGTACGGTGGCTGCTGCGTGTCGCGAGGTAATTCGAAGGGAGACGAGGATATCTCTCTCCTCGCACGTTCACCTCCGCCGCCGTCGGCCAGACGGACTCGGTGCCAGCGCGAAATCAATTACGCATAGCGTAAGACGCGAGGCCGACGAGCAATGACAAACATCCCCTCGGTGCACGTGCCATCGAGCCCCACAATCGGTTAAGCTGGATTATGACCTGCCGTCTGCGCTAGAGTGCCACGAGAGGACGAAGGGCCGGCTCGGGAAAGGAGGGAGGGGGGAGGCGGGGATGCAGCGGGGAACGGCAGACAGACAGTTTTCTCCTTTGCGATCTTTCATTTCGCCGCGTTTGGCAGGACACTTTCTTGCGGATAAGAAACTTCGGATCAAAGAAGATCTCAGATATCTGCACTTGAATACTCGTAATAGGGACAAGGGAAGAGAGAAAGAGAAGGAGAGAAAGAGAAGGAGAGAGTGAAGTGACTTTCTCTCTCTCTCTCTCTCTCTCTCTCTCTCTCTCGCCAGCTTTTATCTGCGGATCATTACTCCTCTTTTTCTCTCGCCTGTAATTCGAGTCAAGTGCGCGACTCGCGGCCGTTCGGCGCGCTGCTCGATCGCCGATCGATTCGATCTCCCCCCGTGGGATTAAAGGAGGGTTAAGCAGCCGGGAGAAACGCGTATCGGCGATATGATTAGCAGAAGCTAATCGTTTCTCTCGGTTAACCGCGGACGATCGGCCAGCTCGCTTGACTCTCTCTCTCTCTCTCTCTCCTCTCTCTTTCCCTTTCGCGCTCGATCGTCCAATTAATCGAGGATCCATCTAAGTCGTTCGCCGGCGATCCCGCGGAGCCTCTCGATAAACATTTCAATTAGAAACGTATTAGGGCCCGGCACGCGAGAGAGCCACCCACGTGGAGAAGGATCCGCCGCGGCTCCCCCCCTCCCCTCCCCCCTCCCACGGGGGCAGTTCGCGGGCCAGCGCCTGTGTATTTTCGTGCCGTCTTTTGTACAAAGAGAACAAGACCACGGAGAGGGGAGAGGAGAAGAGAGGAGATCGAGAAGACGTCGAGGGACCACCCGCGAGTCGGCTTCCAGAATCGATAAGCTGGAGAAGACCGGGAGACCCTCGGCTTCGTCGAATTCACCGAGTTCACCGGTCCATCCGTCTTTCTTCGGGGTCTCCCTCTCTCTCTCTCTCTCTCTCTCTCTCTCTCTCGCTCCTCGCGACCATTATCCCGAGGAAGTCCCCGACGGCTTGAGGAATCACGAGGAGCACGTGCCGACGTAAATCGTAATCCTTACGTGAGAGGAATCATCGTCCGCCGCGGCGGAGGCGCGCCTGATACCGACGTGTCGCGACCTCGCATGAATTAGCGCGAAGCGTGAGCGCGGAAAAAGAGGGGAAAATCTTGCGGGCCCGCACGGCGGCGCGGGCGAGCCGTTATCGGGGTTTCGAGGGAAAGCGAGCGTCGGCGGGAATTTATTATCGCGAGCGACGAACTCGCCGGCGCGGCGAGTCGTCGCGACATCGTCGCGCCGCGCCGCGCCGCGCCGTTGCGAATCTATATTTCCCCGTCCCGCCCGGCGGGCGAATTAAACGTTAAATTACACCTCGCGCCGCACGGCCGATTCGCGTGAACGTTATTAATTTGACATTCGCGGATAAATCCCTATTTCACTTGGCAACGGCGGGACGCCGGCAACGCCGGCGCGGCCGCCGCGTCGCTCGAAAGCCGAAGCACGAAGCCGGGCGATTCTATTTTAGCATAACTGGTTTATACTTAGACTCTCATAGGTTACCGCATACCTCGGAGCGTGTTCCCTTCGCAGCCGAGCGAACTTCGCGGTCTCTCGCTATCCCTTTCTCGCCCCTCTCTCTCTCTCTCTCTCTCTCTCTCTCTCTCTCTCTCTGTCCCTCCCTCTCTCCTCGGAGGTACTTCCGATGTATTCTGGATGATGACGTGGGAGAATCGTCGGGGCCTCGTTGATACCGGGGAGAGATATCGAGGCGACACGCTTGAACGATCGTATTGTGCCGTCCCCTGGCGGGAGGGGGCGGGAGCCCCCCTCTTTCTGCTCCGGAGGGATGGGGATGCGGCGATAACGAAAATCGCTCGGTAAGGAGCGTGCGATTTTCGCAAGGAAGCGATTCGTCGCGACCGACCGCAACGATTTCTCGTGTGTTTCGCTCCTTTGTCTCGCTCTCCTCCTCCTCTTTTTTCCTCCGACGAGCTGCTCTCGTAACAAAGAAGCGTGTCATCTCATTGTTGCTTCTTCTCCTCGCGCAGCGCCGAGCTCGGCGCTCGCCTCGACGGCTGCAATCGCGCGAAAGTGTTATGCGAATACAATTATCAGTTGACGAAGATGTCGCGCCGTTTGGTCGCCTTGCTTGTTATTATCGTTGCTTGACGCTGGGATTATTGATGGTCGACGCGACTTGTTCCCACCGGAGCGAAACGATTTCTTTCTCTTTTTTCTTTTTTAAATGGAAGTTTTCGTGGAAATATGTCAACGCTTTAACGCCTACCGGTAACTATAATTAGCAGAAACGCATTTAAGAATCTATAAGCCAAAAACTTCAAAAAAGGAGACATTTTCGTTTTCTTCGCATCACTGCAAAGGTGAATTCTTCTTCTAAAAAATGGTACATAGATTGTATGTAGATTCGGTTCAGTCTGTTTTTAGCTCAGTTTTAATGATAACATGTTTTGTCAAATTCCAAGTAGGCATAGTTAGCATCGTTACTGACATCTGAGAAGTGCACTATAAATGAATAGATTGGTATCTGTTGTAATTTTATACATTTGGAAGCTTTCTCAGATGCAAAATGTGAAATTGAAAGAATACATAAATTCAAAATGGCGAATCCAATGTAGCGGACACGAAAATCAAGAAATCAACCTATTTTCGTGAAACCTGGTGACCTACAATTTTTTATGCGGCGAAAAATGAAGGGACGATTGACTATCTAAATGGTGATCTATAAGATATTCTTCTGAAATAGTAAGCCCGACGCTCTGAATGGTAAACTTCACTCACGAATACAGTAAAGTTTCAGCTCAAAAATGTCAAGCTGACTATCAGAGCTATGTCGTATAGATTACCCTTCATTTTTCTCTGTATAGGTTGCTCATTTCGTGCGTATGCTTTTAGGATCCAAGTTATATTTACCAATGAACAAAAAGCGAACGATAAAACAAACCAATATGATATTCTGATATTTTTTTGGTTATCGCTATTTATAGTCTCAGTTCGAAGAAACTCAAATTTTACTCTTAAAACACTTATAAAAAAATTAGGCGTCAAAGGGTTAAACAAAAGCCGAAATGTTTGTTTATTTCTCTTAGTTTTATCCAACGTGCGTTAAAGGTTAATGAAATACATCTGGAGGGGGATATGAAAAAGTTTGAACAACCTTTGTAAGAAACTTTGCTACAGACTGCTTCGTTTTCATCGCTCGGTGCCTCTGACGTTTATTTTTTACCACACATGCGTTGTCAATTATAAAAACTAGACGTTCTATAAGACGTTCTGTAAGATATTATTATTATTATTATTTATTATTTATTATTATGTCCTATAAGATACTGTTATTATTATTATTTATTTTGATGTTGGAAAATCAAGAGGGAGATAAATAATATAAATTGATATGATAATATTTAATATTACTTTTTTGATCTTTCAAATGAAAGGGAGAAGTAAATAAACTGTCGCGTGATGTGGAGAGTATTGAAAACAAATAGACAGGAAACATAACAGTGCTGTCGAACGCGTCTCGTCGGCTAAAAGTCACGTGGCCTCGGCAACAATAACGCCCGTGTGTCCGTGAATGCGACTGCCGAGCGATGATAACAGTCCTTGTCGCGAAGGCGAGTGAATCGGACGACTCTCGCGCGCGATTCCCGATTCCTCCGGTCCGGTCGTGGTGTGCGTGAAACGCATTGTATCGCGATTATCTCGAGTGGAGCGGCGTCTTGTGTAGTCTCCATAGGATAACTTCCATTCTGCCATTTTATTAGTTTTAATGAGAAACTGTCAGTTTTTTCTCTGGGGCATCTCGACGTATCGACATCTGTCGGTATAACTAATCGGGGATTTTTTCTTCTGCTTCAAGTGCGCCAGACAGGTTGCAAGCACACGGTGGACCTGATGAATCCTCGAGGATGCGGATTCGGTGAATGCCGAACCGGAGGATCCGGTTCGGGCTGAGCAGGGTCGGTTCGAAGGTAGCTTTACAGACTTCTCTTCTTCCGCGTTCGAGTCCTTGCGATCGAAAACCGAGATATGCTTGTGTCGGGATAAAAGTCATTGAGCCGCCACGATCGCAAAGGGCTAATGAACTCGCGTTCCGATTCGTTATTCCACGTCGAATTGACGGAATTATACGTATATATATATATATATTTTTTTTTTTTTTCTTACAGATTGTAGCAGAACGTGACCGATCTTGAGTCTTCGGTACTTCGGTGAGTTCAAAACAAAAACTCAAGGTGGCGGGTCTTTATGAAAAGAATTATAGCGATTTACCGAATTTGTAGAGTTTTTGCGTGCACACTGAGAGAAAAAAAAAACGGTCGGTCTCATTGCAAATCCGCCATTTTCAAAGCTGGCGGTATTTCTCCGTCGCTTAAAAAATATGTACAGGGTGATTTGAAGTCTTCAAGGGTCATCAAGCTGACAAAAGTTAGGGCACTATTGTGACGACATATTCTTGAAATCAAATAGAGCAAAAAGTCCGGTATTTTTTTCTTTCTCTTCTAACAAATAGTTACCGAGATATCATAATTTAAACATCGAAAAAGTTTTCTCTAAGTATCTCAAAAGATATTAAGTAAATAAGAAAATGTTTCCGACAAAAGTTGTCCAAATTAATAGGTAGAAAAAGATTACGTAATAAAAAGTGGGGATTTCTATCTAAACAATTCGAGGTGACTTTTCCGTGACCTTGATGACGCTGTTCAAAGTCATACTAGCGTCGCTATGTGACGCGTCACTTAAAACCCCACAACTTCTGTATTTGACACCTTTTTCCCATCTTGCATATTTTCAAAGTTATTCAGGTGGCTCCTCTCTTAAATGCCTCACCCTGCATATTAGTAACGAAGCGCTTGTCTGTAAAAATAAACCTCCTGACTAGAATTATTTCATTGTTGATGCTCACCACAGATATCTGTTCAGTCTCAAATAGCCGGCACGTTTCACTCTGTGCAGTTTCGCGTCTACGTATTCGTGTCGTCGATCGAAATGCGCCATCAGAATTGCGCCACGCGGGACTTGCTTTGCTCGCGATTAATTTCCCTATCGCCGCTATTCCCGGCATTTCCCACACAAGTCAAAACCGATTCGCGCATGTTTCGGTACTTCCGACTCGAAAATTAGAATTGTGTCGCGATACGCACTCGAAGAGAAACGTCTTCTTTTCCCTTCTCGATCTCGGCGGAACGATCTCGACTTGTTTACGCGCGACTCGCGAAGCGAGTCGTAACTCATACCCAACTTTTCATCGAATCGTTCAACGCCGTTCGTTGATACGTACTTCTTTTCTATATACCTGAGACACATTTTTGTTTCGCGGTCACGAATAACGAACGCGGTGTGAAGCGAAGTGAGCGAGGAGCGAACGCCGAGTTGACGAAGCACGCGATTGGAACGCTCGCGGGGCGCAGACGGGAGTCGCATTGATTACCGATGAAAAGTCACCGCTGTCGACGGTGCGAAATTATTGAAAAAAAAGGACTCGCGCGGGATATGGATGTGAACATGACGCGCGCGCGTTTCCGGGGCCTGTCCTTTTGTGGTAAATAATACAAATAGACGCGCGTTACTGCGCGCTTCGCGAAGCGATAGAGAATCTCTCTCTCTCTCTCTCTCTCACTCTCTCCCACTCCCTTCCTCTCCCTCTCTCTTTCTCTCTTTCTCTTTTTCGATCCCGATGGACCGGCGGACAACTACCGTAATATTAACAAAGCACTTTTGTATATTTTACGCGGAGCACTCTCGATAAATCCCGCCGCTTCTCGAAATCAGGAAAATAACTCTCTCATCGGCGCGCGCCCCTCCCTCCCTCTCCACCCCACGCGCGCGCGTCATGCATTATACATATGCACGTCCACTTGGGTAGGGGGAATATCGCAGCGCAGATATCGCGGGGCGGAAGAAACACGCAATTTCACATCCAATAACAAGAGATAGTCCTCGATGCAAATGGCGGCCGCGAATATTCGAGCAGTCGCGCAAGAAAGGGCTCTCTCGCGGATTTCTTTCCTCGGGATTCATTTCGCGCCGCCCGCCGCCCCCGCTCGCGCGCTTCGCTCTCACCCTCGTTCCAACCCCCCCGCGCGCGGCGGGCACGAGCGCTCTTCGGCGCGAATCCTTCTTTCCTCAGATTTGGCCGATTCGAATAATTCATACGTCGCGATTATACCGACCGCGGGGCCGTAAAATGATACGCTTGCCTGGGGACGAATATATTTCGAATCCTCGCGCACGTTTACGATCCCGGGAGAAAGTCGTGAGCCGAAAGAAAGGCCGCGCTGGCCGCGCAGAGGAGCGTCTCGCTCACGACGCGGGGAAATGTGGAGGAGGAAAGGATGAAAGATAAAAGCACAGGAGGGAGGGGGGGGGGCGACTACGCAGCGGTGCAGCGGTGGAACGTCGCGTCGACGAGGGAGGTTTGCGACGCGAGCCGCCGTCGTCGGCGAAGCCACCGCTCGCGCGCGCGCTGACTCCTATCGATCCGCGCCATTTGATATTCCGCGTTGAAACTCGGTTAAATATTTGACATACCGAGAATGAGGGTGGCTCGTAATATGTACTGAGCAAACGCCGGCTCCCGGGCCCCCTCCTCCCACCGGTAATCTGCAGCGTCAATGTAATATCCACGAGATTCGACTTGACATGAAAAGTTTTCGGAAGCCGCGCCAACAATGCGGCCGCTGCGGCCGCGCGCAATTAGTTATTCGCGGGCGAGCCAAACGCTGGAAAGGACAAATTTCTTTTCGCCACCGAAATTATCGTTATTCTCGTGCTCGTTGTTCACGGCGACAAATTAATGGCAATTAATCGCCTGTATGCGTGTATGTTTAGCGCGTACTGCGACTATCACTTTATAGCGGTTGTATGGTTATCGTCGCGGACACCGAACGGCAACACTTACCGCAAAAGTGGCTCTCTCGGCTCCGCAATTCTCCGGCTGTGCGCTTACGTGCGCAGCTACAAACGCACGAAGTAGCCATTTCTCAGTGAAGGCGGCTGAGAGAGAAAGGCGATTATAATTTGACGCACGAGAGGGCACGATGGGTTTAACCAGTTCGCCGGAGTAGTGACTCGTATGAGCAAAAAAACAAAATAAAGAAAGAAATGCCACAACTGCTGATGGCTCCATACATGAGCGCCATGAGTGGCTCTGCCGATTTTCGATTTGCATGAAACTTGACACAGCCGTATGTTTCGAGTCGCTGACTCCGGAATCAAATTGGAGAAATTCATAGTGGAGGATCCGATATGGCGGCGTTTAAATACTCAATTTTGTCTTTGTTCTTGAGGAATATTTATCATGATTGATCCCCCTCATTTGATTTTGTATGAAATTTTCTTTATATTATATTTAGTTGGGAATCTAAACCGATTCTCGAAACAAATGACGTCATCAGCTTTGCCGGTTCCTCGACGGCTAATAGCTGACAGCTGATCGTTGGAGGTCATCGTTTGATAACCGTTAGTTCATCGGAGCTGGTGCTGTCATTTGTTTTAATGAGAATCATGTTGGTTCCTCCACTACAGTTTGCAGTTTGATCAACGACATGAAATCGCATCGAACGAGATAAAAAAAATCGCGTTTTGGAAACTCAAAAGTACTTTGAAACTTTTTTGACCGCTAGGGTATATTGTCATTTTGCCATACCCGGTTAACATAACCTCAATCGTGACAATTCGCCGCGCCTCTCGTATCGTTGTGGCTAAACTGCTTGGCGGTGAAGCTTAAGACGAACTCCGGAATCAAATTGGAGAAATTTATAATGGCGGATCCGGATTAATATGGCGGCGTTTAAATACTCAATTTTGTCAGTTTTCGGAGAATATTTATTAAAATGAATATCCCCGCTTGATTTTGTATGAAATCTGCTTTATAGAGGGGTTTTCGGGTTGCTGATGGCGAACCTGAGATCAAAAGTTCAAAATTCAAAATAGCGGGTTCAATATGACGGTTCTAAGTGACCGATTTTGTTATTCCATCTTGTGGAAGATCATGTTCGACATGGTTATGTTTTTTGGATTGCTGATGATGAATCTCCGGTCGAAATTGCGAAATCTAAAATGGTGGATCCAATATGGCGGCTTCTAGTGAGTAATAGTGTCCCATTGTGGGATACGCTTGCTCACTTCTATTATTTGCGAATGAAATATGTCGAAGAAAACTATTTCTTTGCTGAATGGCTCAGATTTATGATAACCGTCATCTGCGTGACAAGAAAAAAACATACCGAGTTTGATACGCATCCATAATGGAATATCAAAGATAACACTTTGACTTTTGAAATTTTTCGGCCCTAGTCGTCACTCAAAAAAGCCCTTATAGATGAGCTTCCATGTAAAATACGAAATTATTCGCTCGCACCAGCTTTGGCACAAAACGTTGATCTCGGGCTCACCGGGTGAAGCTAGTTGGTAAAGCCAGTTATTGTTGTTTCGCAGGCAACGCCGCTTCAAACAATTCGACGCGATGAGCGCGAAGGTGGCCGAAAAGAGGGAGGGACGGTCCACGCAATTTGACATACGAGCGATGCGTGCATCGCGACGCGTAATTCAATCACGTCGTGCTGTGCGCGCGACTGAAAGTTTAACCGGCGCCGTTGCGGTGGGAATATTTCTCGCCGAGCTCTGCGACTCTTCCAGGTGCGGTCTCGTGCGCGATCTCTTCTCTCTTCGCTCGGGATATATTTAGAAGCGTGAAATATGCACGCCTCGCGAGCAACGCGCGCGCGAGTTACACCGCGCTCTCGCGGACCGCGCTAACGCCTGCTAACCGTCATGGCGGCGTATCTCAGCGGAGACGCGAGACGCGCGACGCGCTTTACAGTGACACCGGCGTATGAATTAACAAACAGCCTCCGCCTCGCTAGCTAGCTAGCTAGCTCGCGCGCTGCGGCTTTATGAGAAGTTAGGCGCGAGTGCGGCCGCGTCTCTCACCCTCGGCCGTAATCTCTGCGCGCGAGCGCGAGCGCGCACCATAATTCGCGTTTACGTCCTTTCCCGCGTGTATACGTCTCGATTAGTTGAGTCTGCGGTTCTTTGTCCGTGCGTTCGGTAGGAGGTGATGCCGCGAGAAGAAGTCCGACGAAATCTGAACGCGCGCGCGAGGAAGCGGGCGAGACCGAGCGAGCGGATCTGCCGGTGACACGCTTCGCGCGGGCTGAGAGGGCGAACAGCGGTGAGTTTGAGGTTATCTCGCTGGAACTGTTGTGGA